AGGAGTCCTTGTTTTTATAATGCAGAGAGGGTTTTACATCATGCAACCACTTACAAACTCTTTCTCTGGAGTAAAAGATGGAGCAGAATTCCTCTCCTCCTGAAAGGCTTCCAGGAAGTTGAAATTGGCTGACTGAGAGATGCTGAGATTGAGATACAGAGTGACCAACTAGGGTAGGACAAGCCAAAAGACACTGTGCAGAAGACTGCTCCAGAGTGTGGGGTGGATTCCAAGAAGGGATCAGTTCAACTCCTCAGGACTCAGTGCAGTGAAGGATGGAGATATCCTGACAAGGGACCAGAGAGGCCTGGATTAGAAGGTATAGAGGAATACAGACTGACACAGGATATGTGAGCTCATAGTGGGCAGTGACTCCTAGATGGGAGGCAAGGAGGGGTTAAAAGAAAACAGTGGATGCCATGGTTGGCAGTAGATCATGGTTGCCACGGAGACTATCAAGCCTATTTTCAGAGAGTAAGTGTCCTAATTATTAGACCTCAGGCACAAAGTAGATCATTGATTTTGGAAAACAAGGAAACTTCAATTTTCTAAATTAGGGCAAAGGGTTAAGCCAAATAGCAACTATGGCCAGTTCTAGAGAATGGACCGGAATTCTGTGACATGAAGAAAGTGAAATGCTATTTTATCATTTACTTAAAATCTGTGATGAAAACACAAGTGAAGGTGAAGGCCAGGCTTACAGTAAGTCTCTAAGCTTCATCAATTCCTTTCCTCTCTCTCTCTCAAGACTAACAACTATGTGGCAGCCCTTGAAAGTCCAGAGCACACTTAGAAATGATCTGTGCCCCAGGTGTTAAAAGATTAATGAAACCAGTCAATCACATTCCCCAAGGCACTTAGGGGTGCTTAGAATTGTCCAGACACAATGGAAAAACTTCACATTGGTGCTCTTTGTATTCCTCTTTTACAAGATCTATGTTCTAAAGGCCCTTTTCACCCAAATACTTATTTGCTTTAGAGACCTTGATCAATACAAAGCCCACAAAAACAAAAGACTGCTTTATTCCTTCATGAGTTACATTATCCAGGTAATCATAATTGGAGCTACCAAAGCAGGGAATTTTAAGTTGGTATCTTTTGGTCCTTGAAAATGTTGGTGGTTGCAAGCAACATTGATGGTTTTAAACTTTTTCAAACAAGAGGATCACATGCCCTAAATACTGACAATGGGCCATTACTTTATCTGTGGTTCAGATGTAAGAAGAGCCTAGACATAATTTCATAAAGTATAAATATTTTGAAAAGTCCCAGGAAGCTCTCTCCTATCAGTGCCACATAAGGTACTATGGTTTTAGCATAAAACATCACAAATGATGAAATTATAACTGAAAATAAGCTCACTGAAAATAAGCTCTCTTAACAGCGATATGTGATCTAGTCTCTTCTTCAGTGCAGTCACATAGTGCTTTACTAAGGAATATATCCACATGACACCCAGCACAACATGCCACACTGAGATGCTGTTTGGGCTTCAAACTGGAAATTACACTCCTTAAGAGCGTTCTTCTTTGGTTATAAATGGGTAATCACAAATACACATATTCAATACTATTCAAACTACTTCTTTTTGAGTTGGTGTGTAACAAACATTGTGCTTGTTAATATTAAACACGTAAGTGTGTCACAGTGTCTGCCTTCCTCTTGATCCATTCTTGAGATATTTTGAATTTATCTGTCAAGACTGTGTCTAGCAATTCAAGTGTGAAGCCACAAGCTACAAAGTTAATTGATCCTAAGCAGTGATCAGGTCTCACCCTGGACAAATTACTTCAGCCACAAGTCAACCCAAGTGCAATCAAGGATTGAATCAATATTGAACCTTATCCAAATTTCATCAGTCTTCTTTCTACCTTAATTCTCTATGCCCAGGTTTCACATGGATAGCACTGCCATTCACTTTCTTATTATAGGGATGAAGTATTATTTTTGTTATGATAATATTTAAGACATGTTAGAGTTTTTAATTAATACTAGATGATTTTAAAAGAACATGTCTTTCCTATAAATGTCACTAGTAAAATGCATCCAATTTTTCTCTAATGTGGTGCTTTCCCTGTCCATAAAACTTATTTGATTAGCAGTACTATAGAAGCTAACGCTTTTGTATGCAGGCACTCAAGCATAATTTAATCATTTTATTTAAGCATGAAAAAAATTATTCTGAAAGCCCTGTTAGGTAAAATATCCCTGACTAGTTTAAACTTACATTTGCAGGTATATTAAAGGTGAAATAAATCACAGAATGCTCAGTATGCAATGGAAAAGTGTTAACTTTGTTACAATAGTTGGCAGCAAGTTAAAAATTGTAGTATTAGAGAATGTAAGGAATAACTGTCTTATTTAAAATAAATGCATTTAGAAAGGTTACTTTAAAATAAATTTTGTTTTGTGCAAATCCTTTTTATATTACCAAGACTTTCACCTATGGAAACCTTTTTTATAGTCAAACAAGATGAGGTCCTAATTGCATAATACCATTTATCTGCTGAGGATAAAAAGTGCCAACAAATGAAAATGCACATTAGGCAAGAGATTGTCAGAATAGAAAATTGGTTTTTGTTATTTTTTATTTTTTTTTTGTTTTTTTGTTTTTAAATAACCCACTCACATTAACAAAAGACTGCAGTAGCTACCAAATTATAGGTTGTTATTTTTAGTGGAAGTAGTTCAATATTCATATTGGAGCAGATGTAGCAGTTTAACAAAACAGCTCTTCAAATCCTGCACAAATTGAAAACAGGAAAACTGATTGCATTTTCTCTTATCACTTTCCTTTTCTGAATTGACACTTTTGGCCTTCTGAAAATTTACACATGGCTTTCATCTCAACAGCACCTGCTGATCAAATAGAAACCTAACATTTTCATGAAAATGGTATAAAGGGCCAGTTTTGTTCTAACCACTGTAAAGGGCATGAGTTGCCTGCTTGGTGGCAACAATTGCTGTGTATAAGTCATATTCATAATAGTTTTATGCTTTCATTAAACTTTTGAAAATTTGTTAGGTTCCTTCTGGATTTTTTTTCATATTCACTTTTTTTATGGTTCAAGTTTCTTTGACTCAATCTGCCTAATACTTAATTTTATTGTGTAAAGACCAGGCAAAATGTGTAAAACAGTAGATTACACTAAGATAACAAATAGCATTTTGTCTGCCTCTGCCTAAAATACACACATATTTATCTATCTATATATATATATCACTAAGCACATGAGTGTAAAATGTATGCATCTCATTCATTTCATATTCTACTCAACAAAAGAAAACTAGAAACAAGTCAGTGTCGGGTCCTATTTTGAAGGTATCCTACATGTTCTTTTATCAGATATAGACGTAACAGGAATGGGGAAAATTTCCCAGAATGGGGAAAAATGGATGTCACCCAAGCACAAGCTGGTCATCTAACTGAAATGAATGACCACTTGCTGTAACTACCTCCCCAGGGAGTAAAGGTAAATCTTGAAAATGGGTATTCTCTTCTGTAAAACAGGCAAGGATGGTAGCTACCTTGCTTCTCTGATTTTTAAATAAAAATGCTCCACATGTTTTTATGTAACATCCAATTCTGGGTAAAATTAATGATGTTCCTAAGACAGGCTGTCAGCTTCTTAGCCAAAAAAAGCTCTACCCCTTCTGAAGGATTCCAAGCTGTCCTTTCCTATTCTGCCCGGGTGATAAGGTAACCTGAAGGCAGAAATGACATACAGTAATATATGTGCCACTCTGACCAGTTGGGCTGTGAATTTCAGTGTTTCATCATGCTCACTGAGGCAACAGCAAACCTGAAATGTCAATATGTTCAGTCAATGGAAGTAAAATAATGGGACTCTATTGTCTTACCCAATCGATCTGCTGCTGTCAACAAGGAAACATGCCCCTCTGGCTTTAAACAAATTTTAATTAGGCTTTTAGTTACTGGATCATATCTATCTACCTATGAAAAAAATCTAGCTTGACAATGTTTAGGAGGCAATCATTGTCTACTTTCATTCCTTTTAAGAATCTTCTAAAGTTGATATAATAATTTTTTGAAATACATTCATAAGTCAAAAACATTTTTTTTCTTCTTTCAAACTGATTCTAAGCAAAAGAGTCATGGTTCTTATTCCAAAACCAAATCTACCTAACGGACTTAGATTGATTTTTTTTTCCCCTTTAGCCAGAGTTGACCCATACTACACAATCAACAAATTCCATATTAAAAGTAGGCTTCGGTTGCCTTTCACATCACTGGAGGACCCTTAACACCAACACATCAGCAGTGCAAAACAAGTGACACAAAACCAAACATTAACGACCAATGCCCAAAGCTTCTACCCTCTTCAACTCAGTTTGATCAATCCTACAGGGAAGGGTAAATGAAACTCCTCTAAAATAAGGTAGATGCCAGGCGCTGGGAAAGATGGGGTGAGAGTGAAGAGCCAATAAGACATTTTAAGTCATTCAAATTGCACCTAAGTTCTTCCCACCGGAAGGGAGACACAGTCTCACCTTAAAATAAAAATGAACTAATCAAGTTGTTAAGCAGTTCTTTCTCTCCCTCTTCATCTAAAGGCTTCAGAGTCCAGTCAATAAATAATCTATTGTTCCCCCTTTATCGAGTCTCTTTAAACCTATTCAGACTGGCAAAACTAAACCCAATTAAAGATAAGGCCCTCCGGTAATCTCACCTCGGTGAGTCCTGTCTGGATAGCAGAGGTGATGGGAGATAGCGTCAAGGCCAGGGCTGATGCCTCCTCCTCACCCCGCACAACAAAAGGCAGATTTCTCCTTCTCCCTCTGCTAATCTTTAAATGTAAATTCTCTCCGCCAGCTAAGAGGAGCGACAGATAACATGTTACATCTTCACTTCTCCTGGTCTTATCGACTTCTGAATCATTTGGAAAGGGAGAGAGGGAGCGGGCAGAGCCGCCTCCCCGCGCCCCCCTCGCTCGCGGCCACCCCCTCCTCCGCGCGCCTCCCCCGTTCACGGAGATTACCTTCTGGCAAAGGAGCGCGCGAGAGGCGGCCGCGGCCGAGGCGGCACCCAGACCGCGGCTTTGTATTCATTAAACACACATCGGAGCTTATCAGAAGTAAAAGGCTTGTCAGGATGGCACATTGTGTGTGAGTGAGTGTGTGAGCGCAGGAGGGAGAGGAGAGAAGCCAACGTGCATCAGGGTGATTACAATATCAGCAGGGCCCAGATGGAGGCAGGAAAATAAACAGAGGGTGCGTGTGAGACAGAGCGGGAGAGGGAGGAAAAGTGGGAGAGAGAGAGAGAGAGAGAGAGAGAGAGAGAGGAGAAGAGACACAGGCAGGAGGGGCGAAACCATAAGGGATGAGGGGGCGGGGGTTCAGGCCCCTCGATGGGACTGGAAAGTAGGGGAGAACTACCCTGAGGCTGAGTGGGAGTGAAAGCCAGGGCTGGGGGTCGCCTGCACGCCCCAATCTGTCCCTAACCCCCATGAAAAAAAGGGAGGAAATCCAGACCAGACAACTGCATTTCCCTCCAAAATGTGAACATTTTGGAGGTTCTGTCAAGGTCAAAGTTTTCAAAACCACTCTTTTGACAGTGTAACAATGAGATCTTCATCATCTCACCTCCATTCAAATAACCGAAATTTGAAAAACCAACCTAGTGAATCCACAGAGCAGTCCTTTAGCCTTCCAGACCACCCTCCAATGAGGGTTCCTGTCCCTTTCTCTGCTGACCCAGATCCCCTAAATTCCAGTCCCCACACACCCACACAGAGAAGATGGGCACAGGCGGATAAATAGCTCCCTTTGTGGGCTGTAATGGGTCCCAGCTGAAGACTCATGCAGCCAGTATCATTGGGATAAGGAGGACCACTTGTGATTGGTAGCTACAGGTGACTCCAAGACACCTGCTCCACCTCCAGAAATTGTGTTGGGGGAGGGGGTTCCTTATGTGTACATCTGAAAGTCTATTTTGGAGGTGGGAATTTGAAATTGAGGCAATCAATCTCAGTTTGAGCTGCCTCACAGCTCTTCACCCACCCAGAGCGAGAGAATCAATCAGAGAACAAGTAGGGGCTAATGCTCCTCCATCAGACCAGAGTTCATCCTCCTCTCCAGCAGGGTCAGGAGGGAGATACACCTGAGTAGTCCCTTGGGAGCCCCTTTTCACTTTTAAATGCACCCATCAGACAATCTGAACATCTGATCAGATCCTTAATGGAGTGCAGATAATGCAGCAAAGGAGGTTCTTTTATTGGGGGAAGGGGGGCATTTGGATGTGTTGTGTTTCAAGGCACTGAAGCCTGGTTAAGAAGCTCTCACTGCAATGTGGAGAGTGAGTTCAGAATAAAAAAGCCAATAAACTACATAATTTTTCATGGCACACACTGTGGCCCCAGCTGCTGTGAAACTTGGAGTCATAAAATAGTTTGTGCATGAGAAAGTAGAAAGGGACAAAATGAGGGGGGCGGGGGGAATAGGGCAAATGAGTCCAGAAGGATATGGAAGAGCAAGAGAACTAGCAGTCACCTTTTAGGGGAGACAGATTTTTAAGAGGACCTTTAGAAAATGATGAGGCATTGTTTAATGAAGTACTCTCCCCGCAAATCACTTAGCCAAAAAGCTGTTTTATATGTAGTGCCCCCCCTCCTCCCTCCAAGCTCCCACCCCAAGAAAAGAATCAAGGGATATTTGATAGGTAACACAAAGTGAAGAAAGCTGGCCATGGTGGGGGAAGGGCATGTGTGAAAATCTTGTCATGCAATGAATGTCAGATAAAAAGGGGTCTGCTACAATCCTCCAGTAATCCAATAAAGTGGAAAACCTTGTGGTATCACTGAGACGAGAACAAGGTAATATTTCTCCATAAATCTTCAAGGAGTGACCAGGTTCAATAGTTACAGAAGGGTGCAAAGGTAGGAAGTAAACCACTTGGCAGTCTACATTACAAAATAGAGTGAGCTCTAAATGGGTGAAAATCTGTCATCCCTTCATGTTTTTAATTTAATAACAGATTTCTGGAGTATCATTTTAGCTCAAATAAAAGGTCCCCTTTCACCTTTCTCTCTAGCTGTTACAGAAAACTGTATTCAGAATAACCAGAAGCAACCACACAGACCCTCCCCTTTATCTCATTTTAGTTAGATCACAGACTACATACAAACCCCTAAAATTCCAATGAAACTCCAGAAAGAAAATAAAAAGGCAACTTACCCACTGATTTTTCCATTACAAAGTCTTAAGAAATGCTATTTTTAAAAATAAAATGCCCTAGTATTGATTTCAAACCCATAAGACTTACATTTTTTTCTTTAAAAGGCATCCCAAACATTAGGCATGAAGAAAACTGTACAAACACTGATCTACCAATCTTCTAATTTTGCAAAGGTATAGTTTTTCTACTACCTTGTTTGTTCATTGACTTTTAGCTCATGGTTATAAAAAAGATCAACCAGTTGTCTGGTGGAAGAATCCATGACACTATTTCAAAGCAAACACTTTACTTCAAAGCTTTCAATTAAAAAAAAAAGCAATACAATAATCAGGAAGTATAATCACAGAATAAGTGTATAACAGAAAGTGGTGTCTATAATCACAGCTGTCTTAAAGTCCAGGCTAGAGACTAAAAATCTTAATTTCAACTAGTTCTTTTCTTAATAATAGGTTACCTTCCTATAAAAGCAAGAAGTCCATCTGCCCCAGGCAGATAAGTTTTGAAGCATTAATTCAGATAAAAATCTAGCATTTTCTTTCTTTCTTTGAGTATGTGAATTCTAGTGTGCTATAATGTGAGAATTCCAACATATGACCATTATGGCATAATATCTCATTGCTCAGCTTGTCATTATTTCATTTGTAATTCTTATGTTAATTATGTTCATAATTACTATAAACAGATGTGGTAGACATTCATGTGACCTTTTATTGCAGAATGCATTCCTCACTCATTTTGCTTTAATTTCTCATGTACATGAAGCTGAAATGCAGAAAAAAGAAAAAGCCTTTCTAATTTTCTAATGTTTTAAAATGCAAAAGTTAAAACAGAACCTACCTCTACCTCATCTGCATTTCAGAATATCAATATATTCTTAACATTTAAGCTGCTTTATAGCACATTCCTAAATTGCACACTGAACCTCACTGCTGCTTACTAAATTGTAGCTCTGGATGCCAAACAAAGGCTAGCATCCATCTCTAAGTTGTTTGTCTTCTTTTTTCTTTAATATATCAAAGGTTAATGCAGCAGAATTGTGCTTCAAAACCAAGTGCCTAGCAGCTACATAGCGATTTATTCACTCATAACTCAACCATCATCCTCTTTACATAAAACACATTTACAATAAAATCAGTATGGATTTCATTAGCTGAAAACCTCCTCGAATTTCATTTCTTTGGCCCTAATCTATAATTAGTGTGGACAGACAGGTGCAAACCCTTCTCTTCTACAGATGGCTACTGGAAATGGTGCAAAGTAGCTCCTTCTGTTTAAACAACACAGAGATAACCTGCTCTGTCTTATCACTTACAATTACCTCCATTAAACTGAACTAATGTTTGCTTTAATAAAATGTTCACTGTTCTTTAAACATTATTTAGGAACTCTTATATTAATGGCTGTAAAAAAAAGTGAAGTTGGAAGGTGTCTCTTTAGATAATAATAAATAGCTTACTCTGGATGAAAGGTCCCCATTGATGGATAATTCTGAGGTTCACAAAGGTTTTTAGTTGATTTAACGTTGGTTAGTTACTTCACATAAATAAGATCAAACATACATTTGAAAAGAGCATTCAGGTGATAAATATAATTTTACATGTAGAACGGTGGGAGATATTTTTCCTGAAGTTTAGAACTATGAAAGGTTCAAATTTTGAGTATGGATTTGGGATGTTATTGCTAAGTATATAACTCCTAAAAGTTCTAGATAGTTTTAAAAGAATATTTATGTTAACCCAATTTTATGTATTTGTTTAACTTCTGATAGATTATTCTTGATGTTGATTGAGTTCATTCTTTTAAGACACATTTAAAGAATTAACTATGAATCTAAGTGCACTCTGCAAACACATGGTTAAAAATAACTCCATTCCATAATAAATAACTTCTATAAAGCCAGAGCTCACTGCTCCCTGCTTCTGCTATCAATAAAGCCTGTGGATCACTATATGATGAATAAGGTGCCCATAAAATAAAGAATTTTTAAATGCCAAAACAGCAACAAATAAATAGCCTTTCTCACTGAACTTACATAACTTACAGTAATAGGCTCCAGCAAAATGCAACTGACTCGGTTTTTTTTCACATGCAAATCCTGCAGGTGCCAATTTTTCAGACTGCTTTGCTATGAAGGGCTATGTTGCCTGCATAAAACCTCAATGAGGAAGGCTTTGCATTCAGTGCCTGTCAGCTGATGTTCATATCAAAGAAGTGAGAAACAGGATTTGACAGTGAAGAATGTCCTAAACTGACAACCACTGACCAGCATTCCTATTGGAAGCATTTCTTTCTCCTGATCCCTTTTCAGTGTTTAAGGAAAAAAAAAAATGGTGGGGGGAGGTAAGCTTCTATATTACAATAAAATAAATTATAATGGCACCTTACATTTGTGCAGTTCTTTGCTATTTATGAAATACTCTTTTATCTGGAAATATTTCAACCAACACCTCGATGAGAGAGCTTATCACCAAATACTAACACCAAGAGCAATAATTTGCTTCTCTCAGAAAAAAATTGTGAACATATTTTTTTTTAAAAAAAGCTTCATTCCTATAGCTGAAATGTTACTGTCCTACTATTTCAAGCAACTTGGAATTTAATATGCAGTTTGCATTGTACTGTGGACAGAATACTTCTTGTTAGGAAGGTCCTTTTAAAGCTTTTATAATCGAATTATTAGCAGGTATTAGTGAGTCAAAGAGACTTAGTATAAAGGAAAATATCATTTCAAAGACTTCTGGTCTGTTTTGAGTTGTCCAAACATTAGAGAGAGGGGAAAAAATGCACCGTTTTCTACACATTGCTTTTATTAGGTATGAACTGGACACTGGAGAAACTATACACTGAAATTCTCCCACACAACATTTAGGTTTTCAAATAAAGCGACTGCTGTTCAAATGGTTTATAATTACATTACTGATGCTTATACAAAAATTTAATATAAAGTTCTTCCATTATATAATCTTAAATTCAATTTCTGTGTACTCCAAATGAACCTGATTCCTTGGCTATTTTATTGGAATTCTGTTTTTTGAAAGAATT